AATTTAGCTGATAGACATCATACTCTATACCTGCAGACAGATAGAAAGGAGAGCAGGACTGCTCATTACAGAGTCTAGCCAGTGTTCATTGGACAAGTGGAAAAGGTCATTTGAAAAATGTTGTAAAAACAGTGAAATAGAAATGAAAAGATTAACTACAAGGGTAGGCTTTGACATTCTCACCTTCATTGAGTGAACGACACATTTATTCACATCTAGGTGAGTTGTTAAAAGGTTCTGTTATGTTTGCATACTAAATTTTGGTTGGACATGCTCAGTGGAAGGATTTAACTAAAATAGATATTGAATTCTGCTTCTAAAAACAACAAAGGCATTTCTGCATGCACACAAAAGAAATTGTGATAATTTTAAAGAGACTGAAATAGACATCTGAAGATTGCACATCACTGGTCTAATAGAATCTAGTCTGGTTGCATTGGGTGATATCATAAATCGTGAACTCCGAGATTAAAGTCTCTGCTTTTTCATTATTCTCAGTGCAACTGGGTGTTTTGTTCAGTACTGGGGCCTATTTGTTGTGCTAACAGCACTTGTCATCAACAATGCTGTTACCATAGCCTGTCATTGACTTGTGATATTGACATAGCAGGAATAGAGCCTTCAATGTTATTATAGGGCACACTTTTAGAAGTAATCCTCAAATGATTACTCAGGAAATTTCGAATTCAGAAAAATTAGGAGACATCTGTGGGGAAACCTCATTGGCCAGATAACCATGAGACTTTTCCGCACCATCCCGAGAATTTGAATCAATTTCATTGGCCAAAGAGTGAAGAGGGGATCAAAACATAAAATAGAGGGCTGTGTTAAATCAGTGTTTATATTATTACACAGTTCTTCCTTGAGGTTTCTCCCCTGCCTGGCTGATGCTTTGTAACAAAAAAAGCTATGAAAATAAATATTTTTATGAAGAACTTCCATCTCACAGAGGACGTTTCTCTTCAAAACATAGTCAACAGCCTGCTCTGAAAACTCTGCTCACATTTTGACAGACAATCCACAACATTCTAAAACAGACAGCATTCTAAATAAGATAGCCATAACATTGAGCAAAGAAGGCAATTTGTCTTATCTCCCAATATTAATGGGTCCTTTAAAAAAAATCAAGGATCCATCATGGGAATTGAACCCATGCTGTCGCTGTCACTCTGCATTGTGAACTAGCCAATCCAGCCAACCCATTAAAAACAGTATGTCTAAATAAGAAATGATCGAATTCCAACTAAACTTGGTACATAGACAGACATCACCCAAGGAAGAACTAATTACTTTTTGGTGAAAATGTGAAGTCTTTGATCATAATATCTCTTAACCTTCTAAATTTTAGAGAAAAGTTCCAGGTAAAGACAAACAAAAAGAGAGTTGAATACTATGATCAGTCTATGGAAACAAACTATGTAAGTAAAAAAAGTCACCAAAATCTTAGAGGACCATAGTGCTGCTCTCCCATTAGAGAAAGATGAGTCATAGAGTCACCAGTCCTCAGTCTAACAGAAAGGTTGAGAAGGTGATACTTTCATGGTAACCTTAAAATTCCACTTAACATTTCTCGAATAACTAAGTGCTCATTGCATAACATTGTAAAGGTATCTTTGGCGTGCTAGATCTTTGAATACATTCAGGTAGAATATATGCTGAAGAACTGTTCTGTTATTTCCTTGATGGTAAAGTATTTGCTCAGGAGCAAGACATTCCACCCATTAGCTTCATGCTGGTGTTTACGTTTCACATAAGCTTCCTCCCATCCTTTCTCATCCAATCCCATCCCAATATTGGTCAATCCCTTCCTCTCTCATGTACATATTCAGCTTACCATTAATACATCTATACTACTATTTGCAATGATACCTTGTGCTTGTAAGCTCTCCATTCTAATCATTCCTTGGTAATAAAAAAATCCAGAATTCCCCACTGGATTTATTCGTGACTATTATATATTTAGGAACCCTATTTCTGTCATAGTCATACTTACAGAAACAGATTCTTTGGTACATTTCGCCCACGCTGACCAGATATCCTAAATAAATCTAGTCCCATTGCCAGCATTTGGCCCTTATCCATCTAAAGCTTTCCTATTTATGTACCCATTCAGATGCCTTTTAAATGTTGTAATTGTACCAGCTTCCACCACTTCCTCTGGCAGCTCATTCCATACATGTACCATCCTCTGAATGAAAATGTGTCCCTTAGATCCCTTTTAAATCTTTCCCCTCTCACCCTAAGCCTATGCCCTCTAGTTTTGGACTCCCCTACCCTGGGAAATAAAAACCTTGGCTATTCATCCTATCGATGCCCCTCATGATTTTATAAACCTCTATAAAGTCACCCCTCAGCCTCCAACGCTCTTGGGAAATCAGCCCCAGTCAATTCAGCCTCTCCCTATAGCTCAAACCCTCCAACCCTGGCAACACCCTTGGTAATCTTTTCTGAACCCTTTCAAGTTTAACAACATCTTTTCTACAGCAGGGCAACGAGAACTAAATGCATTATTTCCAAAAGTATCCTGACTAATGTCCATTACAGCTGCAACATGATATCCCAACTGCTATACTCTATGACTAGTTATGTCCCAATTTCAATACATTTATTTTGTTATTAATCATAAATTTTAATTAAATAAATTAATGTCCCCATTCCTAATGTAATATTAAGGCAAAAAACTCTCCAAGAAAACATAAGATTGGACTTTGAAGGGATCTGGACTCAGAACGTTAACTTTGTTTCTCTCTCCACATATGCTGTCAGACCTGCTGAGTTTCTCCACCACTTTCTGTTATGATTTGTTTCAGGTTTCCAGCATTTGCATTTCTTGTTTTTATTCACTTGTAGGATGTGGGTGTCATTGTTGGGGCTAGCATTTACTGCCCATTCCTAGTTGCCCTTGAGAAGGTGGTGATAAGATGCCTTCTTGAAGCATTGCGTTTCATGTGCACAATGCCCCTAGGGAGGGAGATCCAGGATTTTCATCCAGCAACAGTGAAAGAACTGTAATATATTTCCAAGTCAGGATGGTGAGTGGCTTGGATGGGGACTTGCAAATAGTGGTGTTCCCATATGTTTGCTACCCTTATCCTTCTTGATGGAAGTGGTTGTGGGATTGGAAGGTGCTGTCTAAAAATCTTTGGTGAATTTCTGCAGTGCATCTTGTCAATTGTACACACTGCTGCTACCGAGCACCTGTGGTGGAGGGAGTGGATGCTTTTGGACATGGTGCCAATCAAGTGGGGTGTTAAGTCCTGGATGATGTCAAGCTTCTTGAGTGTTGTTGGAACTGCACCCATCTACACAAGTGGGGAATATTCCATCACACTCCTGACTTGCACCTTGTAAATGGTGGGCTGGCCTTTGGGAATTAGGAGGTGAGTTAATTGCAGTATTCATAGCCTCTGACCTGCTCTTGTCACCACTGTATTTATACTGAGAGTGCAATTGAGTTTTTGATCAATAGTAACCCAAGGGTATTAATAATGGAGGATTCAGTGATTCTAATGCCAATGAATGTGAAAGGGTAATGTTTAGATTGTCTTTTATGGCTTTCCCAGCATTGATTTATAACATCTGAGGTATTCTGTACTTAGCAATTGTTTAGTCATAGAAACCTAGTATAAATTGCTAAATTGTTGGTAAGTTTTAGCTCCAGGTCAGGAATGTTGTCCCAATGTTAAGTAACTTCAAAGGAAAAGCATAATTTTAAAGAAAACTTTGCTTCTGCAGTAAAACTTGTGGCATACAATATAGATGGTAGACATTGAGAATCATGGTTGAAGATTAAAGACTGTAGTGCAAAACACCAATACTTTTGTTGGAGGAAACAAGATGAAAACAATTGTTATTTGGGTGATTCCAATCTTCTTTTCTTTTAGAGTCCGTCTATTGTATAACCTAATGCATTGTGAGAAAGTTTAGGAGCTCTGCAAATTTCAGTTCTTGGAAAAATGAGTTGGTATATGTCGCAGTCCTAAACAAACATGATGTGAATGGAGACCATTAAAGATGGCACATTTACAGTTGAGAGGAAAGAATACAGAAATACTTGTAACCTTTCACAACTTCATGACATCTCAAAGTGTTTTCCAACTAACTAAGCTTTTCAAATGCAAGCATTCTCGTCAATTTGCTCACACCCAAGCAGCAATGATGACCAAATAATGATATTTCCACATTGGTCCTAATACTATTGGGAGAATTCCCCCAGTTAGTCGAGTGGCTTGTTTAACATTGGCAACATTGCAGCAGTCCCTCAGTACTGGAGTGTCAGCCTAAATGTTATTTCACCAGTCTTGTGGAGCGGGTCTTGAACCCACAATCCTCTAACTCATAGGTGAGTGTAATACTGAGCTAGAGAGAAAAAAATCTATGGAAGCAACAATGATTGTTTTAAATGATGAGAGACAAAAACAGAGGGTTGGAACTTGGAAAACAAAAAGTGGTTACAGATAAGGACTCCTTTTGAAATGACAATATTTTCCAGTTGGTCTCAAAAGAAAGAAAAACAGTGTAAATTTTCGGGAAAAGTGACAATCTTCAGAGTACTTTAGTCAGAGTTTTAATGACACTGGTGTTTTATATTTCAGTGAATAAAATTATTCGTTCAAAAAGCACAAGCTGCAACAAAAAGTGCTTCAAGCACAATATAGCCATTTTGATCAGAGGGTCACTTTATGAGGAGTTGAAAGTGATTGCACATCACACAGTTTCTCTTATCCCGTTGTTAAGCACTGCCCATGACACATTTATACCACGAATAATTTTCAAACGAGATACAATTTAAATGATCTAACAGCGCTGTTACATGAATAAGATGGCATTCCTTGCAAACTGCAGAATGGGTGCAAAACAGAATGGAGCACAAATGATTCAGCACAGAGCACCCTGTAAAAATGTCATCCCCTGACTGTTGCCTTGCCATTCTCTATATAAGGTTGGGGTTTGGTAGGTCATTCAGCTGGCAGTCATGTGATTTACTCGGCACAGAGCATGCCTGAAGCTAACCGTGCTGCTCAGAGTACAGCTAAATACAAAAGCTGGCAGTACACGGAGCTTCAGATTTATCCTTGTCTGTTTTCTCGGTTTTTCTCTGCTTCTTCTGCATCTCTCCTGTCACGGCGCCACAGTCAGGATCTTGGAAAGGGAAAATAACATCTGGCCACAGTAAGTAGCTATTGTTACTTCCCCATGTCAGTGGGGGCTCCTTTAATCAAACAAAAAGAAAATGACAACAGCTAGACACTGTTGTCGAACAGAATTAAACCAATCTACCAGACTGTTTGGAGTAAAAAGCTCCCCCACCCATTTCTTCCTTTTGATAGGATCCAAATATCTGCCAATACTGACTGTCTATTTATTAAAAATAATTGATTTTTCTTTAAGGCATTGAGTTGAGGGATATTGCTCATAGTGTCTTAATTCATCCAAACCTCTCCTTGTTAGCCAACCAATTGTTCCCAGCTCAGAAGGGCTGACAGACGGTACAGATCTCTCCCCTCTCAATACTTGCATTCCCTTCTCATTCTCCGACTGGAAAGCTGCTGGGCCTGTGGTCTACTGTCAGGTCGGAGGGAAAAGGATTTAAGGGGAAATAAAAGTGTTGGGAGAACCTGGCCTTGTACTTAGTTTTAAATTGTTACTAAAACAGCACAAGTGCAAAGTCATATTTTTCTTCGATTCGATAATAGAATAGGGGAGGCATAAAAAGGGACATGTGTTTTTTGTGCTGGGTCTTGCCATGTCTCAATTTTATTAGCTGAGCTTGATCCATTGTTGTCACATCATCTCAAGACTTGTAATATCCTCTGCAATTATTTTCATTTGATTTTGGCCGTTGGGTTTTCAGGCCCAGTTTTTAATCCTCTGTTATGGCTGTGTTTTGCCCCATTGTGTGGGTTTTAAAGTGTTTTCTTTGCACTTTATTAATTCCAAATTTTTAAAATAAATCTGAAGCAAAAGAATAATGAAAATTTTCCCAGGCCATATGAATATGGGGTCTGTGGTAAAGCAGCATAATTTCGCCTGATTGTTGTGTTTTTTGTGCAGTCAGAACAGCTCTCCCATCAATGCCTACATTCCAGGGCCACCATCAATTATCATAGGACCATCCAACATGTGGTACCTGTTTTCAGGGCTGGCGAAACATTGTGTGATTTCTGAGCATTTACTTCATGCTAACCAGTTTAACTCAATGTGCCTGAATGTTCAGTAAGATTGTTTGTCCTTATAGTCCATGTCCCAGTGATGGATAAAACTCAAATCGTAAGTTTGTGTTGCAGGTGTGCTAAAAAGGCAATAGGAGTGAGAATAGTTAACTCCAGGTCTAGCTTGATGATGGAATTTGGAGCAGCGTTGAATAAGTATTGATGAAAAGCCTTGCACGCAGGGGCCATTTGCCAGGAGGATGATGTGTAAACCCATTGACCTATAATTCTCCACAGGTATGCAACAATAGGTCAGCTGAGGACAGAGAAGCAATGCCTGAGGAGCAACATTTTGATTGAAGTTTCCAACTGGTTCTGTGTTAGCCTCTAGTCATTTGAACTGGCAGGAAAGCATATCACTGGCACTAGTTTTTCCTGCTACATGGTACTTTCAGACAGAAGCAGTTCCTCTCTGTTGAGGAGCTGACGGAAGTTCCCTGCACTTTTTAATTATCTGTGTCAAGTCTGATCTTGTCTTAAGCACTCATCTGTTGAATTGTTTCTTTGGGTGTTATGTCCTTTGCCAATTAACAAATTTATAATGAGTCCAGTTAGTCTTTTTATTTAATTATTAGTGTGCTTTCTGCTCTTGCTTAAGTGAAGGATCAAAGGGTAGGGGGAGAAAATGGGAACAAGGGACTGAGTTGGATGATCAGCCGTGATCATATTGAATGAAAGAGCAGGCTCGAAAGACCTACTTCTCCCGTTTTCTGTCATTCCATGCTTTCTGTTAGGGACGGGATTGGACAGAAATTGATAGATTCCTAGATATTAAAGATATTGATGAATAATGTGGGAAAATAGTGTCGGAATGGAAGATCAGCTAAGATGTAGTTGAATGATGGAGCAAGATCAACGGGCTGAATGGCCTACTCCTACTGCTATGTTTGAATGTTTAGAACTCTGCTAGAGACTGGGGAGGGCAATTGGTTAACTTTTCTGTAAGAATTCAGCCATCCGTTTCGACATTTTTGCCAAGAATCACAAGCAGAAGGGTCGCAAATTGCTAATTTATGTATTAAATTTAACTTTACAGAAGTGTCCAGGCCCTGGCCACTTAATGACACTTGGGTGATGTAGTTGTGTACACATAGAGACTTGTTGGCCTCGTGTTGGTTTCAATCCATGTTCCCATTCATCTGCATGCACCCCCGACTGCTACTGGTAATAGGCCACTGTTTTGTCACTTCTTCAGAATCATCACTAGCGAGGCAAGTTTGTGGTATGTTACAACAGATTTCATTGGTGGAATGGAAAAGTAGATCAGCCAGGGCAAGTGTGACTCCAGGTCTGGAGGAGTCTCGTTGCTTCCAGTGAACTCTGCATTCATGATTTCCTTTTAAACATAAACACTGGAATGTTTTTTCCTTCCTGATTAAACTCAGATTGGTTTGGCAATTAGGAAAATTGCCAATCCATTTCCTGCACAACCACAGAACGGCAGAGTGCGAGGTACAGCAAGAGTTGAATTTCTTCCATTCCATTGCATTTGGAATACTTCTATAAAACTGAAGAAGTAGCACTAGTGTCAAAGAATCCAGAACGAGAGGGCATGGATTTACAACGATTTGCTAGTATGGCGAGTCTGACTGGAGAAAAAACATTTTCACATGGCAAGTAGTTTGGGTTTGGAATGCACTGCCTGGAGGTGACATAGAACATAGAACATAGAACATTACAGTGCAGTACAGGCCCTTCGGCCCTCGATGTTGCGCCGACCTGTGAAACCAATCTGAAGCCCATCTGACCTAAACTATTCCATTATCATCCATATGTTTATCCAATGACCATTTAAATGCCCTTAAAGTGGGCGAGTCTACTACTTTTGCAGGCAGGGCATTCCATGCCCTTACTACTCTCTGAGTAAAGAACCTACCTCTGACATCTGTCCTATATCTATCACCCCTCAATTTAAAGCTATGTCCCCTCGTGCTAGCCATCACCATCGAGGAAAAAGTCTCCCACTGTCCACCCTATCTAATCCTCTGATCATCTTGTATGTCTCTATCAAGTCATCTCTTAACCTTCTTCTCTCTAACGAAAACAGCCTCAAGACCCTCAGCCTTAATAACTGTTGTTATTAATTAACTGCAGGGGTAAATCATATTGAGTGACCATTTCCCACCCCATTACAAGCTCCTAACCCAGTTTCAGCATAATGGCAGAGTTCAGAAGAAAAGCCACTTTTATAACTTTTACCTAAAGTATATTTATGTTGTAAAATTAATAAAACCGCATGTCATGACAGAAGTTCTTGTGACACTGTTCCAGAGACCCTAAACCTGGACCTGAAACTCCAGGTTCGAATCCCATGTCTGGATTTGTTGGCCATAACACATCCAAATCAGTTGATTGTCAGCCAGTAATTCTTTCCAATTTGCCAAATGGTAGACGACGAGAGCACCAGAGTTTCCTAGTCAGTCCATCCTGCAGAAGGCAATGGCAAACCGTGTCAACATTTTGCCCATAGGTATGGACCCATCTAATGGAGGACAGGAGAAAAGACGGACTGACGTTACAGAACAGTTCAAAGTTTAGTTTACATAAAGTGCAATACAGATTTATTTCTCTTAATGCAGCAAATGGCATTTGAGTTGCTTATGATTGCAGATTATAGTTATAGTATCCATTTCACATCAAAGATTCTGCCTGTTCTGGGGAGTGGGTCCGGTTGGGATTCTAATCAAAGGGTCAGTGTGGACTCAATGGATTGATTGGCCTGTTCTGTACTATAGTGATTCTATAATCCTATTAAAAAAAATGTTGGGGTGACACTGTGGCTCAGTAATTAACACTGATGCTTCACAGCGCCAGGGACCCGGGTTTGATTCCATGCTCAGGTGACTGTCTGTGTGGAGTTTGCATGTTCTCTCCGTGCCTGTGACTGTTGCCTCCCACAGTCCAAAGATGTGCAGGTTTGGATTGGCCACTCTGACTTTGTGGATTAACCATGGTATATATGGGTTACAGAGATAGGGTAGAGGGTGAGTATGGCTGGGAAACTCTTCGAAGGGTTGGGGTGGCCTTGGTGGGCTGAATAGCCTGTTTCCACACTGTAGGGATTCTATGATTTCTGACTGGTTAGTCTTAGATCATAGTCCAGTAACTTATTCAGTGTACACAAGATCTGAGATAGTAGGGAAACTTTTCCTTTTCACCCAGGAGTGATGAGGTTAGAGACAGGACAATATGGTACATTTGCAATTCCTTTTTGTACTCACTCTCCAAACCTGGTGTGTACAATATGTCATTTGCAGATCCTTCATCTTTCTCCCTTATTTGATGCATTCTTGGTAACATTTATTTATGAATATTTGTTTGCAAATATCTTTTAAACCCAGAATTTCCTTGTACTGTAAATAAGTCATTGATCTGCAAATTGCACATTTTAGGAGGAAGCAGTGGTAATGTCACTGGTCTAGTAATGCAGAGCCCGAGGCTAATGTTCTGGAGACATTGGTTTGAATCTCACCATGGCAGGTGTTGAAATGTAAATTCCATAAACATCTGTAATTGAGAGTTAGCTTAACAGTGACCAGGTAACCACTATCAATGTAAAAGCCCACCTGGTTCACTAATTACCTTCACTGAAAGAAATCTGCCATCCTTACTTGGTCTGGCCTACATGTGACTCCAGATCCACAGCAATGTGTTTGACTCTTAGCTCCCCAACTTGGCAAATAGGTGTGTGTAATAAATGCTGGCCTCGGCAGTGATACCCAACCTCATGAACAAATAAAAAAAGATGATGTTCCCGATCTTTTTGCCTTCCATTTTAAGTTGTGCAAGTTCTTAAGGGTTCCCCAAGAAGTCTTCCAAGACACACACTTCATTCTTTGAAGCTTTGATATACTATTGATGGGATTGATGTGGAGAGTCATGCACTCCCATGAAAAATAATCTCTTGCATTATTTTATGATGATACCAATCAGTGCTTGTACAACTTTGACTCTCAAGCT